TAAACCCAGCTGGCAAACAGAAAGAAAATGGGAGGTCTCTCAAGAATGCCAGAGGTGACAGGAGTGCCTTCCCATTATCTGAATTTTTCCTACTTCTGAATTTATCAACCTTTGAACAGAAATGCAGCTGTATGGATCTTCAGAAAGCATTTCAATGATGCATTTTTAATGCTGACCAAGTGGCTAACTTCCCTCACAAATGCTTTACATGCGATACCAGTCCTGACTCTGGCCCGGGCGCCGCCCTCTCCCAGCCTGACCCACTCGGGCCGCCGCCCTCTCCCAGCCTGACCCACCCGGGCCGCCGCCCTCTCCCAGCCTGACCCATCCGGGCGGTGCCCTCTTCCAGCCTGACCCACCCGGGCCACCGCCCTCTCCCAGCCTGACCCACCCGGGCCGCCGCCCTCTCCCAGCCTGACCCACAGAGACCCTTGTGATGCCAGTGCTCTCTGCTGCGGCGTATGCAGGGTGCAGGGGACGGAGCACAGGGCTCACCCAGGAACGATGAGTCTACCCCATTTATTTAACTGGTAGTCACTGCTTTGTTATATATACAGATTTTGTTAACTTGTACAAACAGATAATGAAATGGAGAGAACAGCATCTTGCAAAAAAGGCAAGGTCCCAAGTGCCCATTTCCAGCGACCGAAAGCAATGGACTAAACAAGGCAGAAGCTTTGCAAACATTACCGAATGAGGTTTCTCAGAAAGGATGCAATGGGAAAGCAGCGACTCATGTATGCATTCATGTGTGTACATGTATGACATACACACACACACAAACATACAGAGATGTATCTTACACATATATCTGTGTACACAGAAAGAAAAGAAGAGTTTTTCAGCATGATGTGAGGTTGGCAGGTGTGGGAGTCCTCCTCCGGAACCCCTGAGTCATCAGGAGATCTGAGAACAATTTCAGAAGAGGGAGAAAAAAACAAAAAGGCACTTTACAAAGACGGAGGCCTGAACCGAGCATGTCTTAGAGGAGGGTGTGAGTACTTCACCAGAGCGAAGAACTGACTGACAGAGTGGGACTTTTCCCCTTAGTTTTTGTAAAATAAAAGTGCATAACACGTTCTTGTGGCCAGACTGCGTTTTCCCTCTGCTTCATTACTACAAAAACCACCCCCAAAGCAAGAACAAAAACAAAAACCCAACCACACGCAGATCATGGGAACGTAAGATCAGCAGAAATCAGTGCTGGGGCACACGGACACTTCCAAGTCTGGCCTGATGATAAGATTTTTCTCATTCTTCTATTTTTAATTCAGAAAACAAAAATGAACAAACAAAACCCAACTACAATACGTGATTGATAAAAACTCAGCGGCCAGTGTGCTCTTATGTGCATCCCTAAAATAAGGTACCCTAACTGTACACACGGGTCAAGTTCCGGGAAAAAAGCCCCAAGAAATAAAGCACTGTAAATTAGATGCAAGTCAACCAAGCAGGCAGCTTGTTCCACAAACACAGCAGCAAGTACGACAGATAACTGGAGTTCTACAAGATGGGACCACCAGGGGTACAGTGTCTCCCAATCAACGGCAGTTTGAAGAACAGAATTTTCATTTCAGAAAATGTCTTGAATCAAGGGGAGGTGGGAAGAGGTGTGGCAAAGAGCAACAGAGGGCACAGACTGGAGGGGTCTGTCCTTCCCAACCTTGGAGAGTCAACACCCCCCATCTGCTTTGGAAAAGTCTCCAGGGTTAAAATCACTTCCAACAGGCTGTTTCCAACCAGGTGTCAAACCCACAATACCCACCACATGCCCAGTTCTTACCATTACCTCAGTGATGGAATAAACCCAATTCAACTTCCGTGATGTCAAAGATGCAACTGGGCTAACAACATCATGCAAGGGGTGGTAGGTGTGAAGGAACACGCCAGGGCGGTCCTCTGACGTCCTCCAAACACAATCAGGACTCTGTCCCTGGAGACTGACCTCACTTCTTTCCCTAACCCCTTTTACTTCAGCGTGCTTAAAAAACATGATTTTTTTTTAACCCTCTGATCTCAGACTCATGAAAGAAGCATTAGAATCGACTTACAACGGGAATTATTGCATGTACTTTTTGACACTTGGCTCCCAGCAGTCTGCATCCGCGACCGAGCGCCGTCTCGGAAGCCAGCTCCGCTGACCATTATTGCTTGTGAATACTGAGGATTAACTTGTATGTACAGTAACAGCTCACGCATCAGTGAAGGCAACGGAAAACATAAGATGGCTGAAAACAAACAGCTCCATCTTCCTGAATCAAGAATCCCGGGAGAGGGATGTAATGAAGTGCACGGGGAACTTTTGCATTGGGGTGTTGCTAACAGTCTTCAGGACACACATTGCGCTACAGCCTTTCCAGCTACTCACCATCTTAAAAAAGAACATGGTTTGATTTTTTAAGTGCGAAAATATAGCATGAGTCGCAAGTCTCTGTGCTTAAAAACAACAAAGTTTGGTTTTTAGTTAGGAAAAACTGTAAAGACAGGTGACCACGAAAAGAAACCAGTTTGTATTTACGTGCAGGAACTCTCTGAGCACACTCTACCTCGGCATGAAACACAAGTTCTCTGTCCCATGTGTACAAGACGGTGGCCTTGACCAGAGAGAGGACGGAAGTGGGTCAGTGCAAACGGTGGGGCAATAAGCCTGGCAGCAGCCCTTCGGGCATCAAGGCTGAAGAGACAAATATCTAAGCTCCACCCAGATGGACTTGTCAGAGCCAAGGGCCCCCGGCCACCAGACTAGTTGGTAGAAAACGATGTGTGTGCATGTGTGTGTGTGGAGGGAAGAGTACCTAACGTTCTTTTCCAAGGACAATAAAGAACGGAGTCAACAAGGATCTCCCGTAGTGTGATCCACAACTGATGGGTTAAGAAATTAATCTCTATTCTTGATTTAAACCTGTAATGAGTTTATGTATCTGTGTGCATGTATCTATATACATACTTGACCCACACTCATTACATATATGTGGGTACATGAACAATGACCAGCAGAAAGATATATTAATATGCACTCTGGAATAACATGACCTCTCTTCTGCTACGGGAAGTAAAACAAAGACCGTCTTTCAAAAAAGAAAAAAAAAAAACCTCCTATCATCTTCCCAGATACTAGCAAAGACAGTTTTCCCAAATTAGACAAAAGCAGGAGGTCCAGTATGCTACAATAAATCAACAACTGGTAAGTTTCCCTAATTAAAACCCAACAGAACCTTAGTGAAACCTTCAGTGTTTCCTTCCCGAGGCCACTGGGGTTGCCACGACAGTCTTCTTCATCCTAGTGCTAAACTGGATTCTTAGAAGCAAGAATCTGTGTCACTGATTCCTTTCAGATAATCCTCTCCCCTTACCGTAACGAGTCCTTGGAACTAAAGCCTCCGTCACTCACTGACTTCTCTGCTGTGAGGCAAGCCAATGTGCCTCTAATGCTGAGGACAAGCACTGCAATCGAACAGATCTGGGAAAACTGATCCCAGCCCCACAGGGAACCTGGGACTTTTGTTAATAAAAAGTACTTAATAAATAATACTTCGATTTAAATAAACTTGATGGTGCCGGGTGATGTGTGATGAAAATGGACGCATGACACCCTGCTCTACCAGCTTGAGGGTAGAACCACTTTCGTCATTTTGTTTTTTCACACAGGTCTGTCTCTATACACGGACTAAGTAAAGCACTCACACAGGTACAGTTTGAAAACATTCAGAGGCCTAAATAGAAAAAAAGAATGATGACAAAGTGAAAAAATAAAGTAACATGCATCCAAACAGAACAATAAACTTCTCCTCAGCGTCCTTGTGGACGGTGCTGTCTAGGTAACGCAGGAGTCGTATCTGAGGTTGACTTTCAAACCAACATTAGTAAAGCTTTAAGGTCCCAACGGCTCCCTGGCACTTTCGCTACAATGGACATAGGGGTACCTGTATCCTGTGTTGTCATAGAAAAATAACCCCTTCATCCCAAAGTAATTCCTCCTCTAAAACACCACCTTAGAAATTCAGCATCTGTGCCATGCCACTGAGAACAAGCACTGAGCAGCCACGCAGTATGCTAGCAGCTGACAACCCCGTGGAGGGCCACTAGCTCACAGGGCAGAGGGGAAGCTGTGTACCAAGGGCACTGGGGAGCTGGGGGCCTCCAACAGCTTGGGCCAGCTGGCCTCCAGGGGCTCGGAGCAGCCCCAGAGCAGAGGACTCTCAGGTCGCAAGAGAGAAACACGAACACGAACACAGTCACACTTTAACATCAAGAACAGCAATCGACCAGCCGACAGCAGACGCGCAGATCACCTGAAGAAAAGACTAAGCCCCTGTTTCTGAATGGAAGATGCAACTGACCCTTTCACCAAAAGGGGACATCTGGGTTTCGTCTGACCCTGGAAACCACGGTGACTCAGTAACAGACACCAGTGTGCTAAAGCAACCTTCTGGCAGCATCTTCCACCCGCCGCGGCACGGGGAAGATTCAAGTTTGCTCAGGATCTGAGGCTACGGCGTGTGCTCGGCTACCGTCTGCATCAGGTGTAGGGTCGTCATTTTTTTGTGGCAAATTTGCTGCATGGTCCACTCAGACAGACATGACCATCACTCCTGACAAACCGGCCTGATTCCAGGATACTGCCTTTTATTGCGCAATATGTCTGCGAGTGTCCAGCTCTGACCCCTGGATGGATGGCGTCCACCCAATCCTCTCACCTTCCTCTTCCTCCCCCGGGAAAAATCAAATTGGTACTTCTGTGGGTTTGCCAACCGAGCCGCCTTCAGTCTATGGTGGCTGTCCTTCTCGAGAAGAGACCCGCGGTCACTAAGTGAGCACGAGAGCGTGCCCTCCTCCTGCACCCGGCTTTCGTCAAGTCCTGCTTTGTTCCTTCCTCCTCACCACAGTGCTTGGGACGAGAGAATGTAAACATGGACAGAAGCAGCAGCCCTGCGGCCACACGAGCTCCCTGTGGGCAGAGTCCACCAGCCAGTCACGCCTCCCTCCGTCGGGCTGGGAAGTCACTGGGATTTGCGCGGAAGTTTAGTGTCTCCTTTACTTTGGCCTCCATCTGAGAAAGAGAGATGTTAGATTGGGATGGGTTGGCAAGTTCTTAAAAAATAGGTAGGAAAAACAAAACAAAGCAAAACCGTGACGTTTACGTGGCTGATATGGCCAACGCGTTCCTCTGATATTCTCTACGCTGCAGCATGAAACAGGCTGATGAAACACGAAGGGGACCAACATCCAACAGGAACGGACGGTACTCCTATCTCCACTGAACGGGCCTCTAAGAACCATTTCAACAGCACCTCCGTCTGCCTCACGACCGTGACCAAGGCTGCCAGGACCACGGAGGGAGCAGGAGACAGGGTGCACTTTCACTTCCGGCCATGGCGCTGGCAGTCCCCCCTCAGTTATTTATACACATGAAGAAGCACTGCAGACCCAGCCAGCTCTGTGTTTGGCTCCGACCTGCTGGCAGGTCAGCTGCCGGCGACAGTGGTTATGTGTTGTGCACCTTAGCTGTTTGTGAGGAAAATGCCGATTCCTCCATTTAAACTCAGCTGTGTTACTGTTAAAAACTGGCAGAGGGGAGAGGACAGTCGGACGAGCAGCAAGCCGAGAGGATCGAGAGCCAACAGCACGGTCTCTAACAGGTCGCTGCCTCAGCAGTAACAGCGCAGCCGCAGAGTCAACACAGCGGAGACGAAAGGACAGGCAGGGAGTGTCGACTTGGAGGGCAGAGGCATCAACGGTGGAGGGGATAACAGATCATGCACTGTCATCAACTCTAATGCGGGAAGAGACCACAGAGGTGACACACAGCCTGGTGTGCTCATGCAATACCTGCATCCCCGCGCCGCCCCTCCCCAGCAAAATATAAGCAAAGCGGAGGGAAAGAGAAAGCAACGAGACAAGGGGACTGTGTCAAACGTGCACACAGGAGCACTATTAAAACAACTTCCGTGAGCATGTCCCCAGAACACGCTAGTCCACAGACACAAAGGCTTTGAGCTGAGGTGTAAAGAAATTCATAACATGGCAAGGCGTGATTTTAGGTGGGATTTTGCTTGAAGGAGCTTCAGGTAATTAACAAAATAAAATACTCGTATTAACTGGATTATGAAATCTTTTAGACTAGGGTTCAGGAAATGACAACCCAAAGACCAAACCTAGCCTGCCACTGTCTGTCAACAGTTTTACTAGAACCCAGCCACACTCACTCACTAGCATCCTGTCTCTGGCTGTTTCCGCACTCAAATGACAGAGCTGAAGAATGGCCACAAAGCTCACACAGCCTGCAGAGCCCAAAATACCTACTACTCAGCCCTTTACAGAGTTTGCTGACATCGGCTTCAGAGGGTAAAGAAATTCTGTTAACGAGCTCTTACTGTGTAACAGGCACCACACTAGAAGCCTTGAATCAATGATTACTCTTAATGTCTCAGAAGTCCCTGAAAACCCCTCATCTCCTATTCGCAAACAAGAGAAGTGATGTTCCCAGTGGCACTTCTGGCCTCAAATCCAGACCTGGTCCTCAAGTCCAGTGACATATGCTTTAAAGAAATGAAAAACTCACAGCAGGTCACTTCAGTCGCACGCTAACAGCCAGATGCCCTTTCACCTCTGCACAGTGGTCCTGTCCAGACAGTAAGATGAAGCTCATAAAAGCAGCAACATTGGCATCATTTGGACCCAAGACCCTGTGTGAGGCCAGTCTGCCCAGGAGCACTCCGCTCTGGGCCGGAGCCACACCATGCAGCTGTCACAGCCAGCCTGAGCTGCTTCAGTCTCAGGGCAGCCTCTCAGTGTTCAAACCTCAGCAAGGCGTCCAGGGAGCTGAGGCCCACTGACGTCCGTGCCTGCTCTGTCCTACCCTGGGCACAACTAGCCTTCACATCCCTCCCTCCCTTCCTCCCTCAGGGAGCGAGGCTGGCACGGTCGGGGATTAACACCAACCTGTTGCCTGGAGACAGCCACACAGCTCCCACTGCCTCACTGTAAGCTGGTTTCCAACCGTAAGCTGGTTCAAAGACTAGCACGGCAGCACCAGTCAACTTCCCAGGTCTAGAGGGCAGCTGAGCAGTCACCCCTGCTTGACGGGGCCTTGGAACACAGGCAACTCCTGGTAACAGCACCACCCTGAACTTACTTTTAAATGCGTATGACCCAGCCTGTACCCACCGTGTCCTGCTGCCAAGGCTTCGAGCACTGTGTCGACCCCCTCACCTCAGCATCCAGCATGATCTAGCTGGGCTGCCAGGACATCCTGGACCCAGGCTGGGTCATTGTAACCTCCTGACTACTCAGGAGCAGGAAAACTGAATGGCTAAGAGGACAGGCTGCACCTCAGGTAAAACCCTTACTATGTGTAAACTTGAGCTCTCCGACTCAGTTTCCTGTTCTGTAAAAAGGGGACAGCTATCCACACTTCATAGGCCTGCTGCCAAGTTTACGTTTGTCAGCCTGTGTAAGCAGTCACACAACCATCTGACACTTAAATAAGCTTTCCAAGAAATGCCAAGTACTGTAATGACTGCAATGACTTGTGTAAGGTGCCTTGCAGATCCTCCTCATGTAACAAACATTTTCCAAAAGGCCCTCTCTGCGCACACAAGCGACAGGAGGTCCTCCTCACCTAGTCCCTCACTTCAAAGGAGTCTGTGGCTGTCATCTTCACGGGAGCAGAACGCCACCCCTTTCACCCGTAGAGCAGGAGGATTCAGCCTCACTAACATTTGTTTTCATGGCCTTCATCATACTGTCCACACTCTTGACAAGGCAAAGCACCAACTCCATCTGCGTGCCACAGTAGCATGAGGACAGGAGAAACAGCTGCTCTCTTACCGTGAAACGTTTGCTGTAAGTGTGCAGGCAGCGGCGGGTGGGAGAGCGGCGCGGCGTGCTGGGCTCCCGACTGTAAACCCTTTAGTAAATCTGGACGGAAAGAGACTTGTCAGTGATCCTCTCCAGCCTGCAACCAGAGCCCTCTCAGACCAAGAGCAACAACGGTCTGATTTATCACATGCAAGCAAGTCTCTGACTTCAAGCAACAAGTGTCAGAGATTGACATATATGCATGTTTTTAAAAACAAAACACCCCCCAGCAGCGAGTCAATTCTCACTCACAGCAACCCCAAGGACAGAGCAGAACTGCCTCGTTGGGCTTCCAAGGCTCTCATCTCTATGAAGCGGACTGCCACAGCTCTCTGCGGGGCGGCTGGTGGCTTTGAACTGCTGACCTTTTGGTCAGCAGCTGAGCGCTTAATCACTGCACCACCAGGGTTCCTTAAATGTTCATGTGTATGCAAATATGACTTCCTCTTATTATGGATTTCCTGAAGGTACAGAGAGTTCCTAAAGAAATTGTAAGGAAAATCCTAGACTCCGGTATTACGGATCGATGGCACAAATGATACATTACTTTAAAGCAAACCCTCTCACCTCCACTCACTCTGAGTGGGCCACTCTGGGCCGGCAGCAGCAGGGCGGTTCCCGTTCTGCCCCTCACCCTTCCTGCTCACGCTAGCAGCCCCGTAGGCACAAGACCACTTACTCTGAGTTAGGCCGTGGTGGAAAGCGGCTGAGGTAGATCCCGAGGTGGCTGTCACTCCAGCTGTGTCCGTTCCAAAGCCAAGTAGCTCCAAGGGAAACTGGAAGGGCATGGTCACTGGAACAAGGCCACCCAGCATCCCAAAAGGAGTCACATTCTGATTTGTTACAGACAAAGGTGATGTCATGAGAGTCAGAGGTGACGCATTAGCCAACAATGACGCACCTGCTGTGGACTGCAGAAACCAGGGGTCAAAACGGAGAAGAAACAAGTGCCTAACACCCCGACTTACTTTACTCAGGGCCCTCAGGGACGCGGGACTGTGTCACATTTGCTCCCGCTCCGCTGTGGGCTGCAGAAAACCCACTGCTGTCAAGTCGACTCCGAGTCGCCACAACCCTACAGGACGGGGTAGGACTGCCCCACTGGGTTTCCAAGACCGTGATCTTTACAGAAGTGGACTTCCACACCTTTCTCCCATGGAGCGGCGGTGGGAGAACTGCTGGCTTTCTGGTTAGCAGCTGAGCACCTAACACTGGGCCCCCAGGGCTCGTTGGACTGCAGAAACCAGGGGTCACAAGAGAAGGAAAGTGCTTAACCCACATGGACTCACTTCACTCCACACCCTCAAGGATGCAGGACTGTGTCTCAAATTTGCTGTAACAAAGCATGAGAAAGCAAGGGAAACGGAGGTGGACAGCACATTTCCATGAGCTGCCAACACTGGTTTGGAAAATCCGCGGACTACAGTTCTTCACCTGCTCCGGGCTCCTCAGAGTCTGAGGAACGGCATCTGCTCTCTCACCGCACGCGGTCCTACCATCAGATTTCCACTTCTCCACTTGTGCCCCCAGCCCACACGTCTGAACCATCAGTCGTTAAGTCTGCACAGTGTCAACGTGGCCTCTGAGCACGCTCAGTCATCTACTTACTCGGCCGGCCGGGTACAGCCCCTGCCGTTTCTGTCCCAGACTCTCTCAGAGCCCAGATGTGCCCTTCATCCTGTCCTCACCCACGACCTTGAGGAGCCGAGCCATGGAGGACACGCTTCTGCACCGCCAGCCTCCCCGGCCCTGCGCTGTGAGCCCCACCTGTGCAGACGCTGCTCCCACAGTGTCAGCTACTGCACCACAGCTGCCACGTCTCCTCTGCCCTCGGGTATCTCGCTCCCCTGGGAGCAGCCCTGCTGCTATTCCGGCTGATCTATCTGCACCGCTTTTATTATCGGACTTTCTGAAGGCCAGGCTCCGTGTCCCACATGACCTAGTCTCTCCTCAGCCTGTGAAAGAAGGCAGATGTCTCCCCTAAGTCACTGAAACAGACTCCCTAAGACAAATTAGAGAGTGTGACGCTTCCCACCAGCTTCTAAGGCCACGATTATGAAAACTCTCAGCTCAAACAGACACTGGCAATGACAAGCTTCCATTGAGAAATTCCTGAAGGGATATGCCATAAAGCTAACTGAAGTCTCTGATCCACTTCCTATACAGGAATTAAATCATTTTTTCCCATTTTGACTTTCTTCTTATCTATATGCACTTATCGACACAAGATCCATACACCTATTTCTCCGTTTCAGGTATCACCTGCTGTTGTCAGATATTACCTCTGCCATTCTGAGCTTTCTTATTTTACCAACTCCAAACTTCTCTGGTAAAAATTTTACAGCTCCAAACTTGGTCAAGAACATAGCATTCTTTGATTTTTTAAGTAAATAATCATAAAGGTCACTTTTGTCCATTTGATTTTCTGTGATTATTTTTACCAGTGAACGTTACTAATTATGGGCTGCTCGTTTTGTGTCTCAACGTGCAAGGAAAACGCAGGCCGCTCCCCATGCCCACAAGCCGTGTTACACGTGTTCACACACACAACGGTCCACGGCCCTGCTGAACAGAAACAAAGGCTGTGTCCCGAGGAAGACTGTCCCCGCCCTCTCGCTACTCCCAATCACCCCATTCTCTTCCCTCTCCAATTTACACCCGCAGTTCTGAGCCCTCCACTCCAGCCCTGCATTTCTAAGCGTTCGCCGAGTCTGTGCACAGGGACCCTGAGGAGCGCTGGCCTGGCTCGCCCACACCAGCCTCGTCTGCCAGCTCCCCACTCTCCAGCCAACTGCTATCATGGCTCACAGCCCTCACTCCAGGCACGAGGGCTTGAGACTTCGGGTTTTAGCATCGTAATTCGAGGACTCGATGAACCCACACTGTATTTTTATACAAGTACACATGCTGCTATTCCTTCTGCAAGCCGGGCAAGGCCCTTGTGTATCTGCTCCCTTTGCAGGGCATGCTACAGGATACACGTGCACCTAATTTACGTGGATACATTAAAACCAAAACACCAAACTCACTGATGTCCAGCAGGATCCAACTCATAACATCCCTCCTTGGGTTTCCGAGGCAGCATCACTACAGAAGTAGATTGCTCAACCTTCCTTCCGAGGAGTGGCTGGTGGGTTTGGACCACCAGCCTTCTAGTTAGCAGACAATGTAGAAAACACAGTAGTCGACAAGCCCGATCTTTCTTTTCTCCTCACCACAACTTTCTCCAACAGCAAGAACTAACCCAAACCCTCTGGCCTGCCCAACTGCGATCGCTTCCCATCTTTCCCTCCACTGTGCTGACCGTGGCACGTGACCTGAGTGCTTTACGGAGAAGAAATCAGTTGAAGTAACATCCTGAAGCCACTTGGATAGAAATGACCCTGCATCAATTTAAAAGTCACTGAGTCACCTCTTGTCTTAATCATACCTCACTGTCGTCTTTGAGAGGCCGCACACCTGAAATGCAGCCCGTGGTGAAGAAACGGAACCCTACTGTTCAGGAGAACTCCTCTCACACGTTCCTTGGTAGGTGGAAACGTTGAAATAGACAGAAGCATACATTAGGGCAACTTGCAAAATCAAGTAACTGAGTGCTAGCAAGAAAGACCACATTAGAACTAACCTTTCATGTTCTCAGAGAACGTTACCCTTCATTTTTGCTCACATCTAATACTAAGTGAGACACAGGGTAATCTGTCACATAGCCATTTACACATTTTTCTGTGCTAGCCGACGGGCACCTTTCAGAAGTGGGTGTCCCACTGACAGCCTTCAGGAAGGTACAGGAGCAGTGGTCAACATGAAGTAGACAGCTCTGGAAAGGCCCTGATCAAAAGTGCTCTCGGGGACCTCTATTCCCAGGGGGAATGCAAAGAAAACTCCTTCCTGAGGTCGGCGTGATGCCTTTTCTTTAAAGTCACTGACTCTTTTTGGGTGAGAACCTCTATGCTACATTCTCCACAGCAACCGGAGAAATCTTTTAAAATTTGAACCAGACCACACCACCTGTTTGAGACCCTCCAACGGCCTCCCACTGCACCCAGAATGAAGCCCAAAGTCCTGGTCATGGCCCACATGTCCCCGGCCACGGCTCGAGTCTAACGCTGATCTCAGCACCTACCAAATGCCCAGTCAGCCTGCCGGCCTGCATGGCTCCCTTCCTGTCATTGCATGGCTGGCTCTTGCTCACTCAATTCTCAGCTCCAACGTTACCTCCTCCAAGAGCCCTCCCCTGACCCTGTGTCAACGCTGGCAGCAAACGCCCTCAGCCACCTCACCAGGCTTATTTTCCACAGCACGCACTTTGTTGTTTTTTTGATCTTCCTACTGAGAATCTATCCTCCGTGAGAGCAGGGATCTGGGCATGCTGGGCACCCTGCACCCGACACCTGAAGAGCCCCTGGCACACAGCCAACAAGCAGCACCTGCTGGATGCAGGATGACTCCAGACGGGAAGGTGGCAAAGACAAGAGCCACGGACCAGCGTTTACGTGAAGGAAGAGAGACGCCGCTAAGCGGGGAGGTACCAAAGAGAAAACACAGAGAGCCAGTGACCTGAACCCAGATGGACTACATTCTGCTGAGTTCAGGACCTGCCATTCTCCCCCTGCAGACGGGCAGACGCCTGGTAGGGTCCTCAATCAGGCGCCGATGGCCTGCAGCTCAGGGACGAGGTGGTCTGAGTGCGGGTGCCACAGAGACAACATCTAGAGGCTCTGCCCAGGTGTCAGTGAGGGGCTACGTTACAACCGTGTGCCCGCTGGACACAAACACCAAGAGACAAGAGACCACCCGGCTCATGACTGACCATCGAGGAAGGAGAAACAGAACAGACGTGGGTGGAGGATGCCAGCGGCCTAGGTCACAGAGTGCCCAGGAGAGGAAGACACAGCAGAGTGGCTACTTCCCAGAAATGCAGACCCTGCCATGGCTTCCTTGCTGACAAATCGGTTATTTATTAAACAGTATCTGGGTTCTTCTGGGAAAACAGAAATGATCAGATACAGAAAGGTCTCTAGAAAAAAACAAACTGATAGATTCCAAAGTCGATAAAGGATGGCGAAAGACTCAACCTGAAGTTCAAAGAAAACAGTGAGTGGGAAATAAAGCAATTTTTAACTCTGGGGAAAAAATGAAAATCTGTAATAAAAAGGCAAGTGAATCCACAGGTCACTGTACTTAGCCCAACAGATTCAATATTTCCATGGCTATGGATTTAACCCAACACTGCGGCAGGCCCTTTAGGCACAGCGGGGAAGGCAGAAGCTAAAAGCCTTAGTCACAAGAAGATGAAAGATAATGCTGAACAGATGGGCGGAGGTTCTCTATTCATTCTTTTTATTTGAAAATACTCAGAAGCGAAAGCTAAGAGTTGTCAGTGGTTCACACCAGGGGTCAAACAGGAGGCACGGAATGGCTGTTATAACCATTTCACGTATTCCTTTCATCAGTATAAAGATTCACTTTAAAAAGTCAATTTTTTAATAAAGATAATACAAACCAGAATGGGTACTCACTTCCAGACCTTACCTATAACTTAATCTTCAACAGATAAGCCCTAATATCAGTTATTTGTTCATTTCTGTTATTTTCTTTTTTTCTAACAAAAGTAAATTCTGAAGTTCCCTGAATACAGCACCAGTCACAGAACGTGTTCACATTAGAATCTGGGCGCAAAGTCGCCTGCACACCTTTGCTGAAGGCAGGATGCAGATCTGGGCTGAGGAGTGCAGGTGTGGATGGAGCACCGCCCTGGAGCCCGCGTCTAACAGGAAACCAGTAAGGGCTCAGGTCTTTCATGACACGTTCTGACTCACACATGCAGGAGACAGGACAAAGTGACAGTGCTTCCCTAGACGACAGCACCGCATCAGTACACCCACACCAACCAGGTTCTCAGATACTGAAGTGCCCAAGAACCTGCCCGTTGTAAAAGGTTCATGAAGAAAAGCTGGCTCTGCCACAGCATCGCGTGCCAAACACCTGACCGGAGGCTAAAAGCATCAGCAGTGGGGAGGGCGAGGGGAGGGATGAGCAGTGTTTGCTGGCTTTTTTCTGAATCTGCCAACAGTGAACACGTACTACTTTTCAGGTTAAAAAAAAAAAAATAATAATCAAACAGTGATGTGAAGGACCAATCTGAGAAAACCTCCAGATATAAAGGAGCAGAGAAAGGGAAACAACAGATGAGATGACGTGGCTGACAGGGAGGAAATGGATAAATAGTAAGAACTTTCAAAAATGATACAAAAAACCTAGGACAAATGGTTCAGCCAGGCATCTGGGGCCACACCCGTAGGAGAGCACAGGAAGAACACAGGTGTGGAAGAGCTCAGGTAGAACAGCACCAGGTGAGCCCCGGAAAGGGTCCCGTGAGGGCAGCAGCTAGCGAGAGGCAGATCCCAATGGAAAATCTGGGGGGACGGACTGATGGACGGATGATGACAACAGGGGACGACAGGACTGGGGTATGAAAGGACTGGCACTAGCTTGACAGAAAAGATCCTATACAAATGTTTGCAACAATAATGCAAAAGAAAAATGTTATATGGAAAGATCAACAGTTAAATCTGACTAAATAAGAAAAGGAGGAAAATAAAGCCGGCTGAGGTGGGGAAGAGAAAAGACAAGTCAATGTCAGTAAAGCTCCTCAGTTACTGCCTGCCTCAGGGCTCTGAGAAGCCAGTCTGTAACTTGCACGTCAGTCGTGCTTCTTAAACGTTTTAGAAATGAGCACATGACATACTTTACTGGGGAAAAACCAACCACACCCCAATAAAACGTCATCCCAAAGCACCTCCGTCACGTGACTACCAGGAACGCTGCACGGACTGTTGCAGGTAACCTGAACGCTCTACTCAGCCTGTCATTAAACCAACCAAGAGGAAGGATGGCGCATTACGTTTTACCACCAGGACGGACAGACCATACGTACCTGCACACTGGCGGTTACCACTGAAGACCCTGAGGCGGAGGATGGTCTGTGTGGAGTAGACAACGGTTTAGTAGCACCCTGTGTTCCACTTCCTGTTCCCCCAGACACACTAGTCCTACTGGCTCCGCTTGAGTTAAGGTTACCACCTCTGCTGGCAGGTACGTTCACTGCAACTCCACTCAAGCTGCTCTTCCCGACAGTGCCAGTGGACGATGAGTTTGTTAGCTTTGAAGAGGACTGAAGGGCTTTTGTAGACGGAAGGCCTGGTGTGCGATTAGCGGGCAGTAAATTCAAGGTGGGAGACCGTCTGCTGACGCTCACCCCACTGGGCTGTTTGTGGATGGGGTTGCTGCTGCTGGAGTGACTAGTCTGAGCTACGAGTGCATTTGGGCTGGAAGAACTTGGGGATACAGTGGGCTTGGGAGTTGGGTTGGATTTGGAGATAAGTTTAGTTGCTACTGGAGGCTTAGCTGACAGAGAGGGCTTGGGCGAGGGGGAGGGCTTGGGCGAGGGCAGGGGTTTGGGAGACGTGGCAGGTTTCGGGGAGGCAGCGAGTTTGGGGGATGCAGCCATTGAGAAGGGAGATTTGAAACCCTGCGTGGAGATCTGGGACACCATAGCCTTGGCTAAATAGTTACTGGAGGTAGTGGTGCTGGGTGCTGTCCCAGAGACCAGGGGGTGGGCTCCTGGAGAACCATTTCCCGATGACGGGGTGGGCAAGGGAAGGCGGTACACCAGCGGCTTCTCTGAAGTCTTCAGCAATGGGGCTGAGCAGGACAGGTGGGGGGTATTACTTAGTTTCACCACGGGGTTGGCCTGCGATTTACTGATGGTAGCTTGCAAAGGAGACACGTAGTTCTGTGGGACAACTGAATGCTGGTGTGCCTTGGTGGCCTGTGTCAGGGGAGACGCATCTTGGGCCTCTGATGTTCCCAGAGCATGAGAGGAGGCAGCGGCTTGGGCTGGGGAGGAGGAGGAGACATGGGTCTGTGAGGAGGAAGAGGCAGGGATCTGGCCTGACCGCTGTAGCCCCTGCTGAAGAAGCCTGGCTGGCAAAGGTTCCAGGGAAACTTTTGGGTTCTGAATCGAAGACCCAGCAATAAGGCCTGAAGAGATGCCGGTATGTACTAGGTCCTGGGGTTTCTTTGGTACCGGCCCACTGTGGCCAGCAATAAGACTCGACGAATGTGCAGTCTGAGTAGAGTCTAGTTTTTTGGGAGGAGCCAGCGGCAGCTTACTCATGATGCTCGCTAACTTTTCCTCTCTCAGTCCTGGACGTGGTTTTGATGCAGGCATGCTGATCCGTGCGCCGACAGCAGGGCCCTTGTTGCCATTGTTGATAACAGCTAACGCTTCGGAAACCAGCTCCAGCGAGGGAGAGTGGAAGGGAAAGTCTTCATCCAGGGAGTCGTCGAGGCAGATGGTCTCCTGGGCTGCTGCTGGACCGGAGCTGGTGGAGGCCACGGCCGACCCGCTGCAGCCTGCTGGGGGGCCGCCAGCAGGCGCTGCCACGGACACGGCGATCTTCTGGTCCTTTTTTGGGCTACACTCCTAGCAGAGCAGCATCATATTGGAAAAAAGAAAATCAATTCATAAGAAGGCACAATGTATCATTTTTCTAAAAGACTCAGAAATGCTCACAATGACCAAACTCATTTTCCTACTGGAAATCTTCTCTAGGGACTGTCAAAACTCCAAACCATGGCTGACTGAGCACATCTGTCCTGGCTCAGCCCGGCCCAGCCGGCCTCGCCAAGAAGGCGGGAAAGCCTGTTGGGTAGCGGCTGCAGCACAGATGAACGCCTGCTACCTCAATCACATCTTCAAGCACTGTTCCACACACATCTGATCGGAGACACTGCCTTCATTCTCCTTGACCCAGAAGCACTCCTGCCTTTCTAGTGGACCAGCCCCAGTGCCTAGCTGGACCTGCGGAGCTGGGGGCCGCACGGTTGTCTCCTTCCACTTCTGCTCCTCTGTCTTTGGCCTGCAGCCCCCGCAGCCAGCACAGAGAGCAACCGCAGCAGCAGGAACCTCAAACCACCCAGACTTGGTCCTGCTGCCTGACGGTACGCCCCCAGTCCCCAGTGGCAGTCCCCTGTAATTTATTCAGTTCAGATTCACTGAGTGTCCCCTGTAAGCAAGACCTAACACTAAGGACACAGAGGCCAGGGAATTAAAACTCTGAATACCAAGGGCATACAGTCTGTTTGGATAAAAAGTTAACTTTCTTAAAGTACAAGGAAGAGATAAGAGAACTAGAGCACAGTTTATTCAAAGGGTAAAAGAATTAACAGCACCTGTCTCCTTTTTAAGAGAAATATAAAGTATTTGATTCCTTTTTCAACATTAAGAAGAAATAAAACCACTGTCTAAAAATCATTCTCGTTTCTTCCATTATGTTTCTTACAAACAAAGAAAACCCCCACTAAGCCCAAACCCGCAATCTCCCACAACCCCTGCACAGCCAGATGTAAAAGCACAGAGGGACAGGGATGGACAGCTTGAGGAGGTAAGAACTTTACCACCAGCGTTCAGGGTTTTACAGAAGTCAGCTGCTAGGAACCCTGCTGGCTCTCACCTCTTTTGTAGCTTTTCTGAGCATCTCGTCTGAGACCCCTGACTGCAGACCTCACAGCCTGTCAGAAGGACCTGGTGTGACTGCAGGAAGGCTACTGTCTGCTAAGAGGAACGGGGAACACACACGTAACAGGCTATGTGCACCGTGCCGCACCATCTGGTGACATGACCAGTGACGACTCCGTCCTGAACAGCACAGGAACTGAGGGGAGAGTGTATCGGGATCACACTGGCCATGACATCAGTATAAAATGAGTGCTGTAACTTTTGTATTAATTTTTTCTTTATAAAAATAACATTAAAGCCACCCAATGGAATACCGTGTAGCGATTAAAAAGGAGGGAGCAAACAGCTCTATACTGACGGAGAGAGAAACTGTTCAGGACACATTTGCGTCAGAAAAGCAGGTTCTGGCATTTACGTCAAAGGTCAATTCCCTCTGGGTAAAAGCATGGTAGACGAAGGGACAGAGGAAGGGACAGATGGAGACCCAAAAGAAGGGGCAGACGTGTCTAACAAAGTTAGGAGTCATTTTCTCTGAGGAGAAATTGCTAGGCATTTTATCTGTCCTTTATCGTTTATATTTTCTTCCATAAGTACTTCCTTATACTATCTTTATCACTAGAGAAAGTCTATGAAGAGGGGGAGTGGGAAAAAATAAGCCAGTGACGCAGCTTTTCCATTTTGAGATAAGGAGAGACCACAGGAGAACGTTCCCTCGCCCCGTGCACAGCCACCTCTGAGTCCCCCTGCCCGGCGGGTTGTCTCATCAAGCACTGTCTGCGTGGGTGTGTCAACAACGACCCAGTGTTTGTGGGGTATGAAGAGTGTGGTGCTCTAGTGAAGGGTCAACAAAGAGCCTACACGCCACAGCCTCAAGGAAAGACTGGCTCGCCATGTTCTGGGGCCGAAGACAAAGCAGGTTCCTGAGAACAAGACGACAACACGCTCTGTGCAGGCGGTCCCTGGTTTATGAGGTGTCTGAGTTATGACAAACTGCACATACAATGTCTTTTTTTAGGAGTGCGTCTTCACATTAGTAATATGTTCTACATACGGTGTTGCAGCACGCTCAAAGATCAGATTTAGAGAGATACTGATAATAAAAGGCAATATGGATAAAAAACTACCAAATAAAAAAAAAGCAGTCACACGTCAGAAGCGGACAACGGAGCTGCTGGACTGGAACTCCGGTGAAGGTGGGGACCACCTGTGCTCAAAGGACCTCTGACCCCAAAGTGAAGCCGGCCACAGAGAAACAAGTACTGGCCTTCTGGCCACATCTTCCCAAGCAAAGCAACCTACCCATTCAAGGAAAATGGGACGATACGGGTAACAGTCCCCCACACCTCAGGGTGTATGGGCTCTCCTCAGAATCATAACTTCAGATGATTCTATTTTCATCTCTAGAGATTTTATACCTGATTGTCTTTCAAATCTTCTTTATTGTGATAAAATATTTTTTATTCCTTCTTTTATTTTTTTAAATATTCAAAACATTCTTAGACAATTACGTGAGGTTTCACATCCAAGAAACCAACTTTTTCACCTTTAGTGACCTAATTCTGTTGCTGGCAATTTCTGTGGACTCTCCCTCAGAGGAGCGTGCTTCCCGCTTACCCGTAATTTCAGGCTGTGAACCCCGTGCCTGACACGCCTTTTATCTGTGCTCAGCCCTGGGGCCTCCCTGAGGGTGTGTTACACCATGGAGTTTGCTTTTGGAGGTTGCTCTGGGCTGTCCCTAACCTACGTTTTAAGTTACTTTCTCAGCTTGAGGTTCTCCCAGATCATGCAGATGTCTGACTCAAACTCCCAGACCCGGAAAAATTCTGATTCTCAGGGAGCCCCAGTGCACAGCCCAGGCCAACACAAATTTCTTCTCTCCAATAGTGAGTGAGTTCTTTTCTAGTCTTTTACTTAAGATGCCATCCTTTGAGGGTCCCAGGCTTATGGAAGGGCTCATTTCAAGTCCCATCCTGGTAGAAACCCACAAAGGCCTGGCTAGCTTAGCTCTGAGAAGGTGGTGACCAAAACCACAGGTCCCCAAGGGTCAGTAACACTCCAGTAGCTGTGGCTCTGCTTCTGACCCTTAGAGATTCTTATGTTCTTGCCATCCCTCTCCGCTACTCTTTTAAAGGACACTTGCTCTGTTTTAGCCAGCACTGCTGCATAGCATTAAGCTTAGCTTTATAATTTAATTATCTTCTATCAGCCTCCAGCTTGTGGACACAGTCATCTATTCTCCCACATGCAGAGATTCTAAGATTTTCACAAAGTTTGACAACACCCACCTGAGTATGAGACCTACTGATCTATTCTAAACAGAAGCTGTCTTTTGGTGGCAAGGATGTATGTCAACATTTCCCAACTACGACGAACTGAAGATGTGGGTCAGTGCTTACCTTCACTTTGGGTTTTGGTGCAGGAATCACCTTCTTCTTTGCCCTAAGAAGCAAGATGAGAGAAGAGGCCACTTTAGTAACATTCAGAGCATTCGTGAAGCAGCCCGCACACCTCACTCCACACCACACAGATGAACACCCTCTGCTACCGCTGGGAAAGCTCTCTGATGGACACGCGCTCAACTCATACGTAAATACAGAGCCAACATTTTCGTAACTCGGATTAACCAGAGAGAAGGCCAAACCATCAGCGAAACACGAAATGCAGCTTTTAAAGAGGCTTGCTTCAGAGAGTGGGAAGAGTTTCCAACTGGTGACGGAAAGCAGACCTTCAAGGAATTTCAAGCTCAAACTCGACCCTGCCAACAAGTTCTGAGTAAGGTTTTACTTAAAATACAGACCAAAAAATGCTCACATCAAAAAAAAAAAAAAAAACCTAGAGGGGGAAGGAGAGGGCTAAAAACACCATGGAGCCCTGGATTGCTTGGAGACCAGTGTGAAAAAGCCTGAAGGTTCTCTAGAAGAGGCGCTCAGTAAGTGTCTGCTGAACAGCTGACAAGGGAGGGGTTCACACCATCTGAGGATTTTCACTCTCGTGGATCAAATGTCACTACTGGATTAACAAGGATCTCGATGAGAATGGCCAATCTACAACTTAATCAAGGCCATCATCTTCAAAGGTGGAGACTTGGGCAACAGACCTCCACAGATTCCTACTTCTGGGTACAAAACAAAGTTAGTGCCAATGAGGAAGTTATTCTTAAAAGCCTGAGGACAGAGGACCTATGTACAGACCTGCTTTAAAACTAAAGGAAGGGTTACTTATAAGCAATTGTAACATATGTGTTATTTTAGTTATAGGGAAAGTAGAGGTTAGAAACATTATTGACATAAACGTTTATTTTTCAGAAATAACTACTTGAAGTAAAGTAAACCTACAATGCATAAATCCAAACTACCTAAACTTTATACTAAAAAAAAACAAGAATAGCAAGATCTAAAGACCACACTAACTCAATACATTCCTGGTAACTGACTAAGCAAGGGTCCTTCCTAAACACTGAAAAAACGGATCTATTTCAAACATATACAAGCAGAGGAGGAATTCTGTAATGTTGCCAAAAAAGAAGTCACCAGCCCTCTCAGTAACCCAGGGATTTCATATTTCAATAGCCTTAATTCTTCACTTGCAAGGCACAGAGAAGTAGCAAGACACTGCAAGCAAAAATCAAACTCTGGTGGCAATGACCAGTATTCACCCCAAAAATGTAACCACAGGAAAACGTGCCCTTTTCACTGCCTATCAGGAAGAGAAGAGATCTCACGGAGGAAAAATGTTCTGTGTTGAATAGCAGGACAGATGTGAAAAGGAGGTTGACTGAGTGGATAAAGCCCCTGGAGGGCCAGGCACAGTAGACATGGATACACAACTGTCCTGGGAAGCTCAGCGCAGCTCAAAGCTGCAGGTCTCCTACGCAGGTGGTCAAGCAGGAGAGGGAGCAAAGGACACGAGAAGACTGGGGGCTGAAGGCCGAGGAAAAAGGAAAACGCTCAGTCCGTCCCCTTTACACAACTCCCCCTGCTGCACTACTGATACAGTGAGGACGACCACGCAGCCACTCACAGGTAACTAGCGGCAACACGATTCAACAGATTCTGGGGACTAGCCCGAGAACATAAATGTGTTCTGAGGGCCCAAGTGTCAACATTCAAAGACGACGGAAAAAGGCCACTGAGCACATGTTTAAGTCCTGTTTAGCAAGCATTTACCCAGCGCTAGTTCTGCCTCTAAGGAGGCACGTAACAGGGACAGGGAGGCAGGGGAGGTCTGGAGTCTGCTGTTACTCACGGAGCAGAAGTAAGATGATTATGCACACTCCGGCTCTCTTTAAAAAGCATTCTGGAAGAATTAAAAGGACATAATTTTTATAGCAGACAGGAACACGATCATCACTTTACTTACTGTTTCATCATTTTATTTCCAACAGGCTATCACTTGCTTATTTACCAAGTAAAAGCTGTAATGGTACAAAAAACGCAGTGATTCATTTTATGGGGAGTTTTGCCTCACTTCCATTTATTTAAATCTTTTCGTAGCGCAACAGATCTTTTCTGTTGATTTAAGATGGATACTTAAGCACGACAGGTTGAGATATCCGAGTTTATTAATTTTTAACAGTGTTTACTTAAAACTCTTTAGACTGTAAACGGGCTGCTATTTTGAGACACCAGGTTACTTCGGCTGTTTTCAAGCAAAGACACAGGCTCTGTGTCTCTTTTCCCAGCTCCGAATCTTGTGCTCCTTACTTTCACGTCACCCATATGAAGTCCTTCCCACAGTTCTTAGCCTTGATCCCTCTCCCCTTTTCTCTACCAACCAATCCAGCGGGCAAAAAAGAAAAGCGGGTCATTAAAACACCTCGTGCACGTCTCCACGTCCACATGACTGCTCTGCCTTGTGAGTGCCTGACGTTTGTAAAGCAGAGATGAGCTGAGATGCCTGCCGAGTGCTGAGTGCCTTAGGGTCTCAGCAACATGAATGTCGTGTGTGTGTGTGTGTATACACGCGTGTGCACACGTGCACACTTAACAACAGCAATAAAAAAAAGTAAAACACAATCTAGGACGTCCCATTTCTTACCTCGCCTGCATCCAGCCCTTAGGCCACAATGGTTTCACCTCTGTCTCCATGAAGGATTTAAGATAGTCCTCTGCCGACTGGCTTTTATTTGGCTCTAACTCATAGCATCCCAATTTGATTTCAACAAGGTTACATAACAACGTTCTAAACAGATTGAAAATACATATATATAAATCCAACTACAAATCAGAGAAACTTAAGTTCTAAACAGACTGTTTAAAAGCACATACATCTGACAGCAATGATACAGAATATTATCTGGAGAATTCCGAAGATGGTATGAAGATCAGTAACTGCTAACACAGTCACTGTGCTGCTGTCACCTCCCAACACAGGACAATTCCCTCTGACAACTCTCATCAAGGCGTCAGAGTCTAAAAGGAACAGCCCTACACCGCTCTCCTTGGGGTAGAGAAATGCCGGTAAGACGGCTGATCTATGGAAATATACTGAATACTCCACCTTCTGAAATCAGCTTGACTTCATGAGTAATTAGAGGATTAGCTTATAAAAAGTATTCTACAAAAATAAAAGTGATGGCACCCTAAGGATAACAGGACCAGATGGCTCTCCTTCTGAACAACGTATCACACGAGTATGTACACGAGCGGCCGGGTACTGATCTCTGGCCGTCGGCTCTTTCTGAGCAGCCGCTAGCTATCGGACAGGGGAGGGTGCGCTGACACCTCACCTCAGGGTGTCGTCCCAGTGGAATTTCTTTCTCGGACCTGTGACGCGCTTCCCTGGCTTCTCATCGTCATCTTCCTCAGATCCATTCTTTTCTCGTTCTTCATCAGTTTGCAACCTAAAAATGAAAACAACTGAAGCCCAGGTGCAACCCACCAGTGCCTACACCACTGAACTGCTTACCTGAACATCAGCTCAGAGAGAAATGGAAGTTCTAGCTTTCTGCACAATACCATGAATGTGGAGTGAGTCATATGGGGTTTTAGGAAATGAGTCTCCATCAGACTAAAGTGCAAACTCGTCTTCTAGCTCAGGAAAGATCTGTGTCCCACCCCAGCCAGTCAAGTCAGCAGTGCAGTGCCTGACCAGGGCCAGCTCTGCCTTTGGTCTTGTTTGCACAACAGCCAACAGACATTTCCCATCTTTGACACCAAGACAACTGAGTGGGACGTGCCGTGTCATTTAGAAAATACTCAATCATGTCATCTCGGGGGCATAGCTGGATCTCTACGTGGTGATGAGGTCACTTACGGCCAATCCCAAAAGCTGAAAGTATTTCTCCAGTGCAAAGACCAGGCCAAACACAAGAGGTACATACTTGGCACACTTGGCTTGACTACGAGCCTGGCAGTCCTCCTGGTACTTAAACAGCTGTTGAGGCATCACGTTGCTAACAGCCAGTTTCAGCTTCTGCAGGGGTTCCCTCAGACGATCATCCTGAAAAGAAAACAGACACTGAGTGTTTTCAGACCATTTACCCAACCCATCTTGCAAGCTTAGACTTCAGAGCTGAGCTCAATGTTCAGACTTTGATCGTACGTGTGTGTGTGAAAGATCTGGCTGTTTAAATATCAGGACTGAGCTTTCAAAACGCACACCAGGTCCTGCCCTTCTTTCCCACCAGTCAAGGAGAGCCCTACTTCCTGCCCCTGCCCTGAAATAATGACCAGCAGCTCCTTTACATTCGTAATGGCGCCCCATGTCTGAGCAACAACTAGATGGGCACCTTCACGGCACTACAAGTGATTACACACCAAATCCACACTGAGCAGATGTCTATGGGTGATCCCCTCTGTGCTGGGGACCCAGGACCACATACAACACTGCTCTGAAACACCAGACCCACGGTCAGGTTGGGTGACCACCAACAGGATGTTGGCATCCTGTTCTCTTGTTTACTGTCTGTAAATATGAATTCAGCTTCAAACAAAAACTAGGTCAAGGCCAATGTGAAAGAGGAAACTGGGAGACACGTATCCACATGGAGTCAGGGCAAAAGACAAAGCAAATAGGCTTATTTTTGACAACTTTAATCAACTAGTCGATTCTTTTCATTTCGTCTACACGGAACTACTTAGAACATACGTATAGTCCTGTCTGAGCTGCAGCGAGATTATAACTGTAAACACCTCTAGTCCTTAACCTTGCTTTTCCTCATGGGAACAACTGCTTTTAAAAAGGCGATTTTGGGGAAGGTGGAGTTTTTAGGAATGCAACCACCATGCTATGCAGATCTTTTATATGAAACTACTAATAAAACTATAAATATTAATTAAAATAAATATTATCGCTAATAAGTGTTTTCACCTATTCCATGCACACCAATCAATACACAGTCAGCCCAGACAACAGGAGCTGTCCCAGTCCCACTTGTAAAGTGTGAACATCCAGGCAGGCTCCTGGACAATGACTGCGAAGAGTCAGGAGCTAAGACTCCCATGGAAACTACCCGACCGTCCATCAGGAGCAGAGTGCCACACACACGGCGTCACGTGAACCAACCCAGCACGTGCACAAACAGCCACCTCGGGACACATGATGCTGAGGGTGAGAAAGCAAGTTGGAGAAGAAAAGAGAACGCGGTTCCACTGATGTGAAGCTTGACAACACGCCTAACTCTGTAACACAACGTGTACGCACACGGATCGGTGAGGAGACGGCAGGCGAAGGCACAAGGCCAAGGTCCTTCTGCAGAGCCAACAGGCGCCTTAAACCACACCCAACATCAAGCCTGAAATGTCCTTGGACGACACTTCATCTACAAAAGGCTGTTCTACTTTCAGTGTACCCACACTGCCCCCACCCTCGGCCCAGATCGTCTGAACATTCAGCAGGAGGCTCTGACCGTCAACATCTATAGGCACGAGGCACAGGCAGAAATCTGACACCTCAGGTAATGGCATTTGTTCACTACAGCCGTAGTTTCTGTTAATAACAAGAACGTCATTAACAGAAGCATAGAGCCTACACAGAGGATTCCATGCCCGTCAGATCACATCTCCAACAGAACAACCCATCCAGGCTGCCACCCTTATTCCTCTACTCCCACTGTGGGGGGCCGTGGACAGCCAGGTCTGTGCTGTGTGGCTCCCGTCCTCTGGCCAGAAAAGGCTGACAAAGGCAGAGCATCAGAGTCTGTCTTCAGGAGCACGGACTGAGGTGGGAGGGTGCAATGTACTCCCACCTCATCAGCAGATGCACAGAAAAGGTAAGAGTGAGACGGCAGAGGCACAGAGAAACAGGGTTCATCCCGGCAACCACCTCTCACCCCTTCTGATTGCTTTCTTAACCTTGAACTCCATAAAAAAGCACTGCTCACAGAGAAGCTTTCCCTTTTTGTCTTAAGCTGCATTCACATTCTTTCCCAGGACATCCAACTTCCAAATATATTAAAAAATACACAAGCAAACCAACTCCTTATGAGCACAGTAACCAGGGCAGGGAAGGCATGGAAAACCATCCCACTGAAAGAAGTGGAAATGGGGGCCTAATAAATGTTTTCAAAATAGGAAAAGCCATGAAGTGGCCAAGTGATCAGGTTGTAAATGGACCCCAAGGAGAACTAGAGCAGCGAGCGGAAAGCACAGGGCCTGCCGTCACAGTGAAGTGGACACTGCTCCCTGGCCGCCCTGCAGCCTGGATGAGCACTGGGCAGGGCCGCAGCACAGAACTGTGCCTGACCCGGAAGACAGAGTAAGGAATCGTTACGCTACACCCACCCTGTGATTCTTTCCACTGGTCTTCGTGTCAGCGTGAGCATGTCTGAGGTAGGCATTATATCCATTCTGCGGAATAAAAGACTGACTTACAAACATGTTGAGGGTGCAAAGCTGTGGAACTGTGGAACTGACCCCAACTTTCCAGTCCAAAGATCCATGTCTCAGAAAAATTATCAGCTGTTGAAAGGGTACTTACTTTTCCAGGGATCCAACACACCCTTAACTGCCATCTACGGCCGGCTATTAGACACATGCAGAGACGGCCCCCCTCGCACAGGCAACCAACCCCTGCGCAGCCTCCCCTCCTCCTCTCACCTGGACATTGAGATGCAGCTTCTTCAGACGCTTCACCAGCGCCTCTTTATTGCACGGCACAAAAGCTTCGAGATGGGAATAGACGCCACTCCGGATGACAGGGCCCAACTCCTGCAGCTGTAACTCAATGCTGACCACAAACAAGAAGACACAACAGAGGAGCTTCCCTCAGGTGGCGTCACACAGGCCAATGGACAGAGTAGCCTCTTCCCATCACACAGGCAGAAGGACAGGGCAGCCCTGCCTCAGGTGACGTCACACGGGCAGAAGGCAGCCACAGTGGTTCACTTTGTCTCTCCCTGTTTCCTTGATAGTATTTTTCATTGGAAAAAAATGCCCCAATGAAGAGTCAAGCTACAGGAAATACTCAGACTCTGGTTTAAGAGTAGAACTTGCATCATCACAAACAAGCTGACAAAGGATTTTCTGGTAACAGCAGCCAAGTCTATGTTCTAGGGTAAAGCACAGGTACTCTGGTATTACTCAAATTACCTGAAAGCACGTTGCTGCGAAGGAATGCCTATGCTCCCAGCTATCACTACACTGGGGGATGGTCACTCTCACTGAGTTCTTGGCTGCTGTTTCTTCTCTTCCTTAAAGGGGTTTGAAAAAACTACCGATTCTGAAGAGGGAAGGCCCTGTGGTAACACGCATCACCTGTTCCACCCATCCGTGTGTTCCATGTTATTCCTATACTACATGAAGTAGATACAGAACGGGTTATTCATTTTACTCAAATTCTCTAGGTTCAATTTCTATTTATAAATTAGGTTTTTGAGAAAGAAAATAAGTTACTAAGGGAGTATTTAGACTAACAGTAAATAAAAATAGAGGGAGAAAGAGAAAGAGAGTTTGTAACAGTCACCATACTTTTGGGGGTAAACTACTAATAAATAATTGAGGTTCCTCCCAAGATGGAAGACATCAGACCAGATACTGAAGGCAGATGAGAACACATGTTAATTCAAAGGCCAAGACCAAAGTGGGGCTCTCGGCAACAAACTAAGTCCAAATCATGCTATTTCATTACAAGAGAAGGTGGACTTAAGTGCCACTCACAAATTAAGATGGCCTAGAAGCTTCAACACCATGGGGAGGGAGGGAACCCTACCCCACACCAATGCAGCCATC